AAAAGTTGAGAGAATACAAAAGCAAATGAAAAAAAAAAAAAAACGAGTGAAACAAAAATCCCATTTCCCACTTTTTTTCCTATTTTTTATTTTTCTTTCCAAATGAGAAGACTACTAGCCTATCTTCCAAATGCAAAATCCCACGTAGGGGTCTCTTTCTGATTCTTTAATATTTAGTTTATTTTTTTTTTCCTTTATCTAAAAGTGGCTTATATGAGTTCCTATTAATGTTTAATAGGTCGCTTTGTAATTATAAGATTATTATTGGAAAAAGAAAGTCCCGGATTTTCAAATTAGAGTCCGGAAATCCATGTTTGCCAAAAACTTCTGGACTATTTGCGCAAAAGAAGTGCTAAAAATTCACAACTTTTTTTTTTATCAAAAATTAAATAGTCCTTGTCCAATTTAGCAATGCAATGCAGAAAATTCATCACCATTTGTCACGCAAATACTCAAATACAACTAAAACTACCACCATTTTCGAGTACCAACTTCACACCTCTGGATATTGAAAAATTTTTACATTTTCTATGAATATATTTTTGTTTCACATACGTCAAATCGTTACAATATTTTTTATTTTAAAAATAAAAAATTTCTAAAAATAGCAATTCAAACGGGCCTTATACATCAAAGGTGGAGTGTGAATTAATATATAAGAGGGCTGTGAATTTAGTGCCTCTTTACCTTTTTAACCTTGGAGAGAAACTGAATGTGTGGCACCAAAAGAGTCCGTTGCCTTTTTCAGTCCCTAAATTTTTTGTAGCACCAAAAAGAGTCCATTGGCTTTTTCAATTGATTTGGTGCTTTGCTTGTGTTCGGACCGAAACTACAGTTTTGCACTAAAGACGATGGAGGGATAGAGACGCAAATCGCCCCTCCGATTAAAGCTTTTTTCCGCACAAAGATTCCTCACATTTCCTGCTTTTACACCACACACAACTCAGTTGGGTCCCTTGGAAGACGATGGACCTTATCTCCGTCTCTACACTCTCCTACACCCTATCCCTTCCCAATTTCCACCACGTGATTGCCAATTCAAATTATCTCGTGATATTTACCGCTCATTCTTTTACAGTTTTACAACCCCCCGCCCCCTTCCTTTTTTTTTTTTTGGGGTCAGACTACAGTTTTACTTAACCAACACCTTTCTTTCTCAATTTGCAAAACCTTAAATGGAAATGACAAATCAAATGAATGTACTTTGCAAGCAAATCAAATTATTTGGAAATTTTTTTGAAATAAACTACAATAGTTTCGAAAATGTGACGTATGTAAAATTTTAAAAAAAATATAATTTAAATGATAAAAATTAATTAAAAAATATGTTTATAATATAATTGAAATTATGGAAAAACCCTGCCCTTTTATTTTTGAGGGTCTAAATGTGCTTCAAGGCCGATGGCATATATGACATGTAAAGTGGTTAAGGGGAGTCAGCTTCCTCCGTATCGTAACGATTTGGTACATGCAAAATAAAAGGATAATTAAAAATGATGTTCACAAAAAATACAAAAAGTTTAGAAGACAAAAATAGCAATACAAACAAGATCACAGTGGAAAGAAAAGCAGAGCCTAAAATGGACAAGCATACATGGAGGAAAATTTTAACATCTTGGTGAAAAAAACAGAAAGTGGATGAGACGTCACTTCTTGTTTTGATCCTCTCGCGAGTACATGAAAACTGATCCATCCGAAGAGCCGGTCACCTGTTTATGCAGATTTATGATAACTGATGATAAGATCTGTTACACAATAGGCACGTACTGTGAAAAAAGATTAGCTTGAGGTATCAAATATCAGTAAACCGCACAAGGAATGGAATGACAGATTCGCCCTTTTTATTTTTTGTTGTTCTTATTTTCTTCTTGGGAGGTATAGACTTATATAGCATAGGCGGCTGTATCTTGTGGCTCATAATAGTAGGACTGCTAGTATTTAATCGTATTTATAACTGTCATAAATAAAAAGGTAACTTTATTTTGGTCCAATGTCTTCTTAACATATTTTGAAAGTATAAAATAGTTTTAACCACAAGTTTATTGCAAAAAAGAAGAAGAAAGAAAGTACTTACTACTACTCTATTTTTTTTTTTTCAACTCACATGAACACTTGCTTCTGAAAGATTTTAGGTTTGCAAGCATCTGGGCAGTGTGAAATGGATCAATAATTCCATCATTAAAGTTGGTTATATGTTAGCTCGCAGGTAGTTTGACTGGTCAGTAATCTGGTCTTTACTAGCAGATTGCTTGATCGATTTTCATGTACTGTCTCGTTATATATTCTTCGATAAGACTCTACACAATTTTAAGAGATTAGTCTGGTCGAAAAATTGAGATACCCCTAAACAAAAAACAAACAAAAAAAAAAAAGTCGGTACCTTGGTTGGTTAGAATTTGTCGAAGCACGAGTTTAAGTAGGTAATTTATATGCCAATTCATACTACAAATTAAGCGTATGCCCTCTTTCCATTGCCTCAATTTTGTCACGTGCGCCACATTGTGTACCCTAGGTCAATGATGGTATATTCTTTTAGAAATTGCATTAGATTCCTAATTCTGTTGCTTTTGTTTTTCAGAGGACGGAGTCAGCGGCGGAGCCAAATGAAGATGAGCGTGGGCAATTGACCCCCATCTTCGATAAAATTTTATTTTGGGCATAGAATTTTTAAACATCTTCGATAGAATTTTGAAATTTCTTTTCTTATCTATATTGGTCCCTCTAAACTCTTTTAATGTCTCTTTCTTATTTCCATTTGCCTCCCTTAATAAATTAAAAAAAAAACTCTTTTGACGTTTCTGAACTACCACTACATTATCATATAACTTAGATGTCAAAATATAACGGACATAACAGAAAAAGTATATTTAACGTGTAAGTGACTTTTAATTGTAAATTACTATGATCACATTTGATGCAGCGTCGAAAATTAAACCCCCCAACTCTCGAGTCTTGGCTCCATAGAGTGATATTGAACTCATAACGATATGATGAGTCACAATTGTTTTCTCGAGCATCGTTTTCTTGTATTCTTGTTTTTAGCTGACACGTTTGTTGGTGCTTCATTCTCATCTAAACAAGATCGTATTTTCTTTGATTTTATAGGAAATTATGCACGGAAGTGATGACCATTTCTTTGTTACGTTTCATAAGGTCGTTTTTTGGAGTGTTTCCATCTCAATATGCGTTTATATAAATATGGTCGAAATTCGAGTGACATGTCACAGATTTGATAAGTTGGACCATTTATTAAAACTACGCGTTGAGCCACAAATCTTTCCTGATTTCACCGGTTATTGATTTCCTTGAAAAGCTTGACTTGCTGTTTTTGAAGCATTTGCTCGTAAAGATTCAATTAATTTTATGCTTTGTATCATGGTAAGGTGACAAATTACTTTCAGTCACTTAAATTTGTCTACAGGAAATTTATCTTTCTCAACTTGCCATAAAAAATAACCAATACATGCCACACGCTACATCCTGTACGCCTAATTCTGGTAAAAAAATCAATCCGTTTGCTTTTCTTTTCAAGAAAATTACACTACTTCATCCTTTAAAGTTACACGCGTTCTATAATTCCTTTTCCCCCGAAACTCAGTCCAACAAAAATGTGTTCTCAAGATTTATTTCCAACCATAACTTAGACAAATAAAAAAATTTGGGACATGGAAAATAATTTGCATCGAATAAATGTTTCTGAGTTTACCACAAGAACAGAACATTTGTCTGGTAAGCTCTTACATTCTTTAGCAGAAAATCAAATTCTACTGTGGTAGTATAACTTTTTTTTTTTTTTGTTTCTTAATCAATAATCAATGCTAGTGGTAAGGGCACACCTGATGTGTGTGTAATTGAGGAACATTCTTTTATATGGAATAGTTTTTTGGAATAGAATTGTAATTAACAATAATAATATTTGTCGGTAATTAAGCAGATAATATGCATTTAGATATTTGGGGTGAAAGTTAATTATGGTTATGTTGGTTGGCAATGTGGAGGTATAATTAATTGATTGTGAGGATAAAGCTAGGCAACTAAAGATGACGAAAAAAACCTTGAAATAAAACATGTACAATGAAAGTTTTCAAAAATTACTTGAGCACAATACACAGACATGGTAAAAGTATAATATTTATTTGGAATAATTTTTGAAAAAAAATATTGTAATATTTTATTTGATACGATATATGTGAGATAAAAAATAATTAAAAATTATGTTAACAATACAAGTAAATGAATTTTGAGAAATAATCTCTATCATCCAATCAAAAAGGAATTTCTTGTGGCCCAGTAAAAGGACTAATTACTGTGACCCGCTGTATTATCCCTGGGTCCTATTCAAATCTGCAATCACACAATTTACCTACTACCAGTACCAGCCCATCCGGGCGAGATGAATCTCAAGTGAAACGAGAAAATGGAAAACGAGACGACGAAATCGGGCGAGATGAATCCTTGCTAGCTAGAATTCTGGTGGTGGTAAATTAATGAGGCAGTGGCACGGACCGTATGGTGTCACGCCATCCGGGCGCACGAAAGCAAAAGGATTCAAAGGACCTCCAAAAATCAAACAAATTAAAAACTACAAAAGTAACCATGGTTAACATGGGGGCGCCTAACTTAACCTTCACACCCCCATTATACCCTGCCCGTTACTACCACGACAACCCCACTTCCCCCATAAAAACCGAACAACTTTCCACTAACGTCAAAGACAAATGCCGTCACTTGCCAACCCAATCCCCTCTCGCCACACTCTCACTCCGTCAGTTTTGCGCCGTTAAGCTGCCTTTATTAATTGTCCCCTTCAGACAGTGTCTCACCAACCGGCTACACCCAGTCAAAAAGCCCTGCCCGACCGGCTATTCCCGGTTCCAACCACGGGTTACAATTTGACCGCGGTTGAAATAATTGCTCTACCCATATTTTTGACTCCACTGCTTATCCAAAGGTCCCCCATCACCATACCTCTCCTCTTCTCTGTCCTTCTCTCTCACATCACTTACATGAAACTTTGCTCTCTCATTTCTATCCTCCTCTCTCTCCTCATTTTTTTCTCTCTATTATTTAGCTAAATTTCTTATAATTTTCACGGGTCTCTCACTACTGTGAAGTTCTGAGATTCTTGGAGCTGCTTCTGAGGTGAATTCTTTGGAACTCTTGGTAGCTGGTGAATTAAGGGAGAAAAACTTAAAAAGAACTTTGTGGGCTCTTGGAGAATTTTCGTGAGTTTGTTGACGAATTTTTGTGGGTTTATGAGTTTGAGTTGAGTGACAGCGTTTTGGTGCTTTGAGTGGATATTTTTTTGTTGGCTTTTGCAGTTTTTGCTCGTGTTTTGAGTGCTTTCTTGGTGGGGGGTTTTGGGATGAGAGATCTATGTTAACAAGTAGGGTGTAGAAATGGCTGCTTCAGAGGTGTCGATCAAGGGATATACTGAGCCAAGTGATGGCCCAAGAGGGCTACCGGAAGTGGCTAAAAGTGTTTCCGGTGCCGGAAAAGGTATTTTATGAAGTTTTGCTCTCATTTCTGGCGTTCTAAGTCATTTTCGTGTCTGATTCTTGTGGATTATGATTTTGAGCTGCTTTACTATGTCAGTTGATGCTGAGACGGCTCTGTATACGGAGCTTTGGCGGGCATGTGCTGGGCCGTTGGTGACAGTGCCTCGTGAGAAAGAGCTTGTGTATTATTTTCCTCAAGGCCACATAGAACAGGTTTTTTTAATTACTTTTTTTTGTTCAAATGCTTTATCGTTAATGTTCATTTGCAGATTCATGCAATTTTCTCATGGGTTTCTTCATTTTTTTTTGTCTTCGTGCATTTACATTTATCTGTCTAAATGCTTTATCAGCAGTTTTTGTTTTCAGATTCATGCAAGTTTATCCTGGGTTTCTTCATTTTTGTGTCCTATCTTCCTTCATTTACAAGCCTTACCATGCTTCACTGATTTGTAACATAGAAATTCTGTGTTAATTTTTTGGTCTCTTTTTACGTATCATACTTGGTGTCCCCTCAAAGGGGGGAATATTTCGGTAACTTTATTGTCCTTTTTGTTTTGTTTTTTTTTTATTGGGTGAATGTACTGCTGTATATGGAGGCTGACTTGTCAAGGGTTTTGTTCCTCTCTTTAGGTTGAAGCGTCAACTAATCAGGTTGCAGACCAGGCGATGCCTGTTTATAATCTGCCTTGGAAGATCCTTTGTCGTGTGATTAATGTTCAATTAAAGGTATTTCAAGTTCGACCATCAGGTCATCAGCGGTTAAATTTGGGTTCTACTTTTCACTTTGTGTGGTTTATGACTGGATGTAAAATGTATGGACATATGCAGGCTGAACCTGACACCGATGAGGTGTTTGCGCAAGTTACTTTGATGCCTGAGCCAGATGTGAGTCTCCATATGGAACTATGGTCATTGCGTGTTTATCTTGTCTTGGAATTGGTTATTTGCTTGGAATTTCAATTTTTTGATATGGTCAATGGCAGCAAGATGAGAATGCTGTGAAGAAAGAGCCAGTGCCACCCCCTCCACCGAGGTTCCATGTGCATTCTTTTTGTAAGACTCTTACTGCATCTGATACAAGCACTCATGGTGGATTTTCAGTGCTGAGACGACATGCTGATGAATGTCTTCCACAACTGGTGAGTGTTTTTACAAGGCTTGAATTTTTTTTATTGTTTTTTAGTACTTTTCTGGGAATGGGGGGTTGAAATGTGCATATCTATTTGGTTGTCTATGACAGGACATGTCTCGACAGCCTCCAACGCAAGAACTGGTAGCCAAAGATTTGCATGGAAATGAGTGGCGGTTTAGACATATCTTTCGTGGTATAATTCAGAAACTTGGCACATTTTGGACTGTAAACCATTTTACCGTGTTGTATTACATCGGATTAGAAAAGCATTTTTTTGTTAATCTCCAGGTCAACCACGGAGACACCTCCTTCAGAGTGGTTGGAGCGTTTTTGTTAGTTCAAAAAGGCTTGTTGCAGGGGATGCCTTCATATTTCTCAGGTTTGGTACCATCCCAAAAGTCTTATTGTCCTCTGCACTGGAATTTTTTTTTCAAATTGTTTAATATTGCATATTTAGAGGTGAAAATGGGGAGCTTCGTGTTGGGGTGAGACGAGCCATGAGACAGCAAGGAAATGCTCCATCATCAGTCATATCCAGTCACAGCATGCATCTTGGCGTGCTTGCAACAGCTTGGCATGCCATTCAAACCAATACATTTTTCACAGTTTATTATAAACCTAGGTATGTTACTTTTATCACTCTGTTGCAAGTTGTCTGCTTAAAAAGCCAAAGATTAGACACAATGTGCAACTTTATATGTTAAGCAACATGATTGATGAATGGTTTTGGATGCTAGTGGAATTGGATTTGCTCGAGAATCTGACTGGTTTTCCTTCTCTATTTGTCGTCTACAGGACAAGCCCCTCTGAGTTTATTGTTCCTTTTGACCAGTATATGGAGTCTGTGAAAAACAGCTACTCCATTGGAATGAGGTTTAAAATGCGATTTGAAGGTGAAGAGGCTCCAGAGCAGAGATTTACTGGAACTATCGTTGGTACTGAAGAAGCTGATCCAAAAAGGTGGCCAGAATCAAAGTGGAGGTGCCTGAAGGTAGTATCTTTGAACTTCATTTTGTCTTCTTTTGCATTTTGTGATGGATCTGAAAAGGTAACCTTTTCTTTAAGGTGAGATGGGATGAAACTTCAACTATTCCTCGGCCTGATAGGGTTTCACCCTGGAAAATTGAACCTGCGCTTACTCCTCCTGCACTTAATCCTCTTCCGGTGCCTAGGCCAAAAAGGCCTCGGCCAAACATTTTGCCATCATCTCCTGATTCTTCTGTGCTTACCAGGGAAGGTAGGTTTTCGCTTTTATTTTATTATTTCTTTCCTGATTATGATTTTGGGTTCTAGTTTGATGTAGCCAAATTATTTTGTTGATTCTCGCATTTGTGCTGCCATGCAGGTTCGTCTAAGATAACCATAGACCCTTCACCAGCTAGTGGGTTGTCGAGGGTCTTGCAAGGTCAAGAACCATCGACCCTGAGAGGCACTCTTGGAGAAAGTAACGAGTCAGATTCTCTAGAGAAGCCTGTCATATGGCCACCGTCTCTGGATGATGACAAGTTAGATGTTTGTGCTTCTTCACGCAGATATGCTTCAGACAAGTGGTTGCCTTTCGGGAGGCCTGAATCATCATTTACAGATCTCTTAGCAGGTTTTGGGAGTCAAATTAATTCCCCAAATGAGTTCTCCACAACTTCTGCTGATCAAACTGTTGTTTCTGCTAACTCAAAGAAACGGCAATTGCAAGAACATGAAGGAAAATTGAATTACCTTGGAAGCCCATGGTCGTTAATGTCCTCTGGTCTTTCACTTAATTTGATGGAGCCTAGTGTAAAAACTCGTGGGCAAGGCACTGACATTTCATATCAGACTCGAGGGGATGCCAGATATGGTAGTTTTAACGAGTATCCCCTGCTTCCCAGTAATAGACTTGACAATCAACAAGCTAATTGGTTAATGCCTCCGCCAATGACCTCTTATATTCAGATGCCTCCCAACTCCAGGGAGATGGTTCATAAACCTATGTTGGTACCGCCGCATGAGGTCGTCAAACCTAAAGAGGGGAACTGTAAGCTTTTTGGTATCCCCCTTATAAGCAACCCTATGCCATTAGAGCCAGCATCATCTCACAAAAATAGAACAATCGAGTCAGTAGGCCAACTACTTCCAGGAATGCATACTCATCGGTCCTCTGTGTCTGAATCTGATCAGAGGTCTGAACAACCAAAGGGCGGAAAGGTGGCTGATAATGTGGTTGCTAGTAATGAGCAGGATAAGCAATGCCAAACATTTAATCAAGTTACAAGAGATAGGGAAGGAAAAGTCTCTGGAGGTTCAACAAGGAGCTGCACTAAGGTTCTGCATATGTTTTTATTGATGTTTTCTTTGCAGTAACATTTGATTTGTCAACATTAGCTCGTGTGAATAGGATGCTCTCATTTCAGGTCCATAAACAGGGGATTGCCCTCGGTAGGTCTGTGGATCTAACAAAGTTTAACAACTATGATGAATTGATCGCTGAACTGGATCGGTTGTTTGAATTCAACGGTGAATTGAAGTATCGGACTAAGCATTGGTTGGTTGTATATACTGATGATGAGGGTGACATGATGCTCGTTGGAGATGATCCATGGCAGTAAGTCTTCAATTCCTTGACCTCACAATGTAAACGTCAAAACATGTATTGATCTATAGTGTTTGATGATTTGTGCCACTTGATAGATTGTGAACGCGTCATTGTTGTGATTTCTGGTTAATAATTTTCATTAATTGGTTGTTTTTATCAGAGAATTCTGTGGCATGGTTCGTAAGATCTTTATTTATACTAGAGAAGAGGTGCAACGGATGAATCCAGGGACACTCAATTCCAGAGGCGAGGAGCAATCATCAGTTGCACAAGGCTTGGATGCCAAAGAAGTGAAGAATCTGCTACAGCCTTCAGCATCAAGCCCTGATGACTGCTAGAATTTGATCCTTTCATTTAGGTATTCTCTTTTGTTGCTCTGGTAGAGATGTCTGTCAAAGAAAACGTATCTTGTTTTCTGTATGCCTTGTGCATTTCCTATCATGGTTTTGCTTATCTGGAAAAAGATGAAATGACGAGTGTTATGAAAACTGAAAAGATAATTAATTCCTACTCTTGCATGCCCTTAAAGGGGAAATAACTGTGGAAAGAGGGTTTTGTATTGCATTTTTGTTTGAAGAAGTGTTTTTTCAGGGTCCAATGGTATTTTGTGGCAATGATAATTTGCTAACCTTTTGGTTCTGTGTAGGATTTTGTGCAGAAGAGTGGCAGTAGACTGTTTGCCTCAACCCTGTTGAGTTTTGGACATTCAGGCGTAGTGATGCATATATATAGCCTTTTACTACCTGATGGCAGGGTCTCTATATGTAGCTGAAGCATTTCCTATTGGCAATTTTGCACCCTTCTTTGGAGCTTATATATGGCTTCCTACTTTATACGTACTATACATACCCCATATTATCTTTTTATCAGCAAGGCATGGGTACCTTGCTTCAAGGCATCCCCCCTTTGTACATAGCCAACTCACGATTTAACAGCTTTGGATAGTATGTCTATACATTGTCAAATCTACTAGCCTTGGGCGCATGTTTCTGTAGTATTGACCTCTAAAATGTGTAATGATCAAATGTTTTATATTCACCCAAATTGTAGTTGCAATCACTTAAATGTGAGTTTCTTGGGTTTTGATTGGATGTATTCATAATGTTGGTGTAGCTCGGTAATGCAAATAAAGATTGCCATGCCTAGGTGTCGGGCCACTGACATGTTGCTTCCTTTCGGGAGAGCTATACTCAGAATGACTTCAGGGGTAGATGTCATGTCAGCTGCCAAACTTGCTGATTTTGTACATCTTTATACCCGAGCCCCTGTTAAAGTCGTGCTTGTGGAATAACTAGTCTCTTTAATCTGGATGGGAAGAAACTGGGAAGCTCTCAGCTTTGGAGGAACGGCACGATTACCAGGTATGGTGCTTGATATTGCATCGACCTAGAAGGCAAGAAAGCGTCAAAAGTCTATTACGTTCTGAAGCTTGCATCCCCAGTTGGGCACGACTCTTATGAAGGAACTTACAGAAACGCAAACGACTCTTAGCATGGGTGTTTTGAGCTGGCATACCTGTCTAAGCAGCAGTAGCTTTGTCATTTTCAGGCAGGAGAAAGTAAGTGTTACGGGGAAAGGTAATAGGGCCTGTTAGCCAGCAGCTAGTTCCGTTTAAGGATTTCTAACTTCTCCCACCAAAAAATGGTTTCCCATATAAGCATTTCATGTTTAGTTTGTCAAGAACATACAACAGTTTCTTCTCCTGCACCAATGTCCGGCAAGCTACCAACAGTGGGAAAAAGCTATCATTCGATCCTTTTGTTTTTCCCGTCACAAAACTTGATTACTCGTATAGTGGTACATGGGAAAAAGCTATCAGGTGCAACAATGTACAACCCTGATAATCTTCACGTCATGGCCAAAGTTCGCGAAGAAGACGGATGAGTTTTTGACAAATGAACCCATGTTTAAGCATGGGCTCTTTTGTTTTCTTTCATTGTTACTGGCCTGTTGGACTGGTTGAGTCGTCGTCTGGCTTTCCAGTCCAAACAACCCCCAAACCCCAATAGGGTTAAAAAATCGATCATTTTGAGCAAAATCGCAGAAATCGTCCGGTTTAACCGTTTGACACGTTGAATTGAAACGGTTTTGAGAGACCAACCGATTCAGTGCCTTCCTTTAATTAAATCAAAAAATTGTGAAGTTGGTCATTTAATGTCATTAATTAACATTCTAAATTCAAACCTTACCAATTACGGATGCGTAATTATCTTCAATTAATTAGACATGTAAGGGAATTTGATCCCTTGACCTACACCTAGATAGAGTTTTAAAGCTCTCTTGGTAGTTAACTATTCTAGGAGTAGTTGATTTTGTGGGACGCTTTTCAGATAAGGGAAATGTCCTGTTCTCATTGAACTATGAATTTCCTAATGCCATGCCGCTTGTCATTGAGCTGGATACCGAAAACAGTCTCCAACGTAAAAAGTTAAAGAGGGATAGAGTCAACTACCAACAACCAAAGACGGATGAGTTTTTGACAAATGAATCCATGTTTATAGCTTGGGCTCTTTGTTTTCTTTCATTGTTTTACAACCCAGTCTGGACTGGCCAGTTGGACTGGTTGAGTCGTCGTCTGCTTTCCAGTCCAAACAACCCCCAAAACCCAATTGTGTTAAAAAATCAGTCATTTTGAGTGAAATCGCAGAAATCATCCGGTTTAACCGTTTAACACACTGACACGTTGAATTTAAACAGTTTTGAGAGACCAACGGATTCAATGCCTTCCTTTAATTAAATCCAAAAATTTTGAAGTTGGTCAATTAATGTCATTAATTAATAGTCTAAGTTCAAACCTTACCAATTACAGATGCATAATTATCTTCAATTAATCAGACATGCACGGGAATTGGATCCCTTGACGTACACCCATGGTTCAAAGTTGCGGTCGCGGCTCGAACCGTTTCACATCGGTCTCGGCATATTGGTCGCGGTATCGATGAGACGCGAATTTTTGAAATATTTAATATTCTAAAAATTGTAAAAAATATGATAAACAAAAATAATTAAAAAATTAGTAAAAATAATAAAAATTCGAGTTGATTTGGGATGACTCGGAGTGATTCGGTGTGACTCGACCGTTTCAACCCTTCATGATGACGTTTCAGCGAGTCAAGCATCTCGGAATCGTATCGTTCCGGTATCGTATCGGGAGGACCCGCGACGGTGACAATTCAGCCGAGTCTTTGAACCATGTGTACACCTAAATAGAATTTTAAAGCTTTCTTAGTAGCTAACTCCTCTAGGAGTAGTTGGTTATTTGGGACACTTTTCAGATAAGGGAAACGTCCTGTTCTAATTGAACCATGAATTTCCTAATGCCATGCTGCTTTCTGTTGAGTCGGCTTTCTGTTGAGCTGGATACAGGAAACAGTCTCCAACGTAAAAAAGTTAAAAGGGGGATGGAGTCAACTACCAACAACCAAAGAAACGCTAATTTGTTGTTGAGATAGTTCCTTTAGTAAGGAATACGCTCACAACTTGCAAGACCGAGTTGTCCTGCTGCAACAACTAGACATTCATCAATGGCTTGGCTACTATAATTCAAAAAACTAATTTGATTTAAGTAAATTAAATTGCTACAAGAAGAAAGCTACTTCAACAAAAGACAATCTTGACATCGAAATACAGACAACAAATGTTTAATGCTTTAAAGCATACAAGTTTTTTGCAAAATAAGGAACTGTAGAGCGGCTTAAATGTAAATGCGATCTAAAACAAAGAAAGTCTGTTGAATAGACAGACGAATTAGCCATTGGATGACTGATCTGCAAAAGGGAAACAGCGTTCACAATCTTGAGCAGTAGAAAATTAGACAATCCCCTGGAAGCCAGCTGAATCCAAGAGAACTGCTTTGATGTGTTCTGGAGGGATTTCTTGGCCTTCATTGCATTGCTGTAATTGGCATAACAACGTTTGAAACAGCCATAAGTTTTCAATCCGCAGCTTTCATATATTTTGACAAATAAAACGAGGTTCATAATCAAAAGCACTTGGGCTCCTCCAAATAACCATGAGTTTGTGAGTCTAACATGCCCATCATGTTCCAGAGAGATTAAGTTTTGAGCTTGTGATCTGTTGTTTCTTTCAGAATTAATTTCTCATGGGAGGATAGGAGGAGTGTTCTAAGTTAACTTCTATATTTTTGGAACTTTATCAAAACCAACAATGCTTTTTAGGTTCTGATTAAAAAAAATTAGATAAAGAACCCTGCTGCAACGTCATATATGAGTGAAAGTTAATTACCTCAGCTCTGAAGATATCCAAGGCAAATCCATTGAAGCAGCTAATCACAGCCTGTTGGATGTCTAGTCCAAGGCTGTCCAAAGCCCTCATGGTTGAGAGCAAGAGTCCAGGTCTGCGACCGCAGAACATGTGGATATTTACAGCTCTTCCTTCTCTTAACCTTACTTCAATCTACAAATATAAACACGCAGAGGATCATATTTAGGACGGTTTTCACATTAGTTCAAAATCATCAGAAACAAGTAGATATTGGTATTCACGAAATGCTTGCGATTAAAAGAAAGACAAACCCTTGCAGGTTGTCCAGTTGGGCTTGACAATGGACTTGCAAAGGCACTTGGACAGAGTTCTTCCTTGATACGGCAGGGCAGGGCGGAGGCAGTAGGAGTCAAAGGATAGAAGGGTGTGGTGGGAGTTAATGCGGAGGCAGCAGGGGTCGACTCCAATTCATTTTGTAGATCGTTGATCTTCTGCAACAGTTCCTTCAAGTACTCAATTGCATCGCCCAAAATTGAGGCCCTGTCCATCTACGAGCATAAAAAACAGTCATCTGTACTATATCATCACAAAAACCCCAGCAAAGTTCTTGCACCATAAAACCATCTCTTAACCTCTACAGTGATCTAGCAACATAGCCAGCCCACTTCAATAATCTTGTCATGATGCAATTGGGGAGACAAAATTAGCAACACAACCAAAATTGGAAATATTTTTTCAAAAGTCATCTTAAATTTATGTTCAAGTCATAAGCATTGTAGTCTTAAGTCTCTATAACCCTCTCCTCCCTGCACAGCTGCGCTGCGCGTTTCTTATTACAAGTCCTAAGCTGCAAAAAGATGTTTTATGTAATCATATTTCAACAAATGTGTAGATTGAGAGGTGAGCATTGCAAAAGCTGGAATGAGAAGCAATTAATACTCATTGGACCACCAAACTAAACTAATTAAAATTTAAATATGAAGTGAAGAAGTGGGACTTAGAGATTGTGAAGGTAAATCAGCAACCAGGAGAACCAAGAAGATTAGGAGATAAACGTATTTATTGCCAAGATATTAAGTTTAAAAATGAGTCTCTTAAAGTGAGCGTGCAAGTGAGCAAGACAACTCTCAGAAGGGTTCACTGTCAAACTAGTATAATATCAAATAATGGTGGGATTCCATGTTTCCGCCAGTGGTCCTGGCTCTCAAGGTGTCTTTCACTCGAAATCAATTCATGGAGTCCATGTGAATGAATTAAATGCTGCCCCATTTGCTTTAACTTCCAGCCTTTTGAACAATAATACAAAGACAAAATCCTATGCATTCATCAAACGCAACCCAATTCAAGTTTTCAGTTCAATTAAAACAAAAAAAAAAAAAAAAAAAAACGATAAGAAAGGAACACTAATGGAAAAAGGAAAAGAAAGAAGACATTATTGCCTAAGACATTATTGCCTAAAACATGTTGAAAATCAAATAACAAATTCACGAGAATTTGCTGTATAGAATTTCTTACCTTGCTAATTTTTGGCACAACGGACCTCAGCATGTAAAGCCTATCATTGAGCTTCTTCCGACGACGGCGTTCGGCCATCAAATTCTTTGCTGGAAGTCCCTTTTTCTTCCCTTTCTGATCCTCACCACCGGTGACAGTGCTATTAGCATTCGAGCTATTTCCGCCATTCTTAACACCCTCTCCCACCACCTTACTGTGATTCTCCAACAAATCATCAGAATCATAATTCAGGTTGGACCCATCAATGCTAACATCCTCAAGATCATCGAAATCGCTACCCTTCCTTTTTAGTCCACTGGCTTCACCAACTTCTTTCTTCTTATCATAGCTTTCACTGTTACCAGAACTCTGCCCAA